TAAAGAGAGAGAGAGAGAGTTAATATTTCATTGAACTAAATACACATTAATTTTAAGAACTATCAGCTGCATGCATTAGCTTTGCACTCAGTTGTAATGTTATCTCTGGCAACCAGAAGAAAATATCCAAACAGCATGTCAATAATCAAACCCCTCCTTCCCCCCTGCAGTGATGGGCTCATAGCCGGGCAGGTTAGCAAACATGTACACTGGCATCCCTGCTGTTTGTTTGGCCATGTCGACAGTAATGTACAACTTATTTGATCCAAGGGAAAAAGGGACGAATCACGATTTTAATTAAGTGGCGTCCCGCTTCCTCACTGTGTCTGTCCAACAGCTGGACAAACAGCTTTTTGTAAACATGGCATCAGTGCTGTGTGTTTGCCCGCTCTGCAGCCCGCTGGGCTTTAGCTGCACGCACCACAGATTCACGCAAACATGAGCCGAGATTTAGCACATTAGAACAAACTAATCTTCAGGCCATGTTCAGCCAATAAATGCAGTTTTATTTAGAGAAAGGACACTTCCCTCTGAACGCCTGCTTCATATGCCTTATTGTGCAGTGGGCCGCTCCCTGAGGGTATGAATATTTACTTTCTGAATCCTTGTAGTGACTAAGTGACTCTGCTTTTTAGCTTCTCAGTTTTCCTGAAGGCTGCTGAAAACAATGACTTCACAGGCGATCACCTCACTTTTCCTGATGTAACTGCACTTTCAGGGATATTAAAGTTTCCTCATGAGTGTTGTTGATTTAAAATAAATGATTCATAGAGGAGATGGTAGCAACACAGCAACTTCCTGGACTTAATGACAGGAGATCAGTCTTTATAAAAATCTTGCTAAATGTGCAGGTGAACGCAAATGTTTTCAAATTCCTCAGACACAAATAAGCACGTACTCATGTTTCAGTTTTTATGTTTGTTTGTCAGTTGCAGAGTCCACGATGCATTTTGTCTAAGTTAGCACAAAGACGAGAAACAGAAACTATATTACATCGTGTCTTTACTAGAGACTGAGACCTCTGTCAAATAATATGAATTGTTGTCAGATAAGCAAGTGCTACACACAGCTAATATGTTTTAGTAACATATCAGTTATGTGCAGATTTAAAATTTAAGCCCACCCAACAGGTGTTTTTATAAATTAATAGCACTTTCATTTAAAAAAAAAAAAAGCATCAATTTTATGACACAGGGAGGATGGAGTGTATCCCAGCTGTCACTGGGTGAGAGGCAACGTACACCTAAGACACTCTCCAGTTTATCACAGGGCTAACACAGAGAACCATTCACACCTACAGGCAATTTAGAATCAGTAATTAACCTGCAAAGCATATATTTAGGAGGAAATGAGGGTACCAAGAGAGAACACAGACAAGCAGACTCTACCCACACATTCACAAACCTGTACACATTCACACCATACATTCACAATACTGTATTTGCAACATTGACAAACCAAGCAGTTTATACAAACCCAGAACCTTCTTGGTGGAGGGGACGGTACTAAACACTGAAATCTCTGTCAAACAATGCTGCGCTCTACTGACAGCCAGCTACAGTCACATTCACATTTGCTGCCAGTGTAAAGACACTAATTAACCCGACCGGTTACTATAAATAAGCAAACCATTATTATTAAATATGTTTATACATTTTCCATTTTTTTAGATTGATTTTTTTTCTCTCTCCCTCCAATTGCTTATCCATGGTTGTGTCATTCAGGTCAGCTAGGATTATAGGAACACTGTATTTGCATCATTTTGTGCCTGGGTGATAATAAGCATCATTAAGTCAGGCGTGTCAAACATAAGGCCCAGGGGCTGGAATCAGCCCAGCAAAATCTCCTCCAAAATGTAAAGGAATGCATAAATTTTGGTCTTTTAAGTCTATTTTCATAAGTCTTACAGAAGATGAATTTTCTGTGAATTAACAAAATCTTTCTGTTCACAGAGTCATGCTGACATATTTCTTTATCATGCAGAAAAAGAGTGCTGTTGAAACTGCACTTCTTTTTCTTATATGAATTAAATGTGTGGTACTTAGTATTAGGATTCAAGTCCAGTATCAGGATTCCTCCAGCTCTGTACGAACAGAAGCATCTCTGTAAAGTCCTGGAAATTTCTAACTTATTCCTAAATTTACCTTGATTGCATTCCTCCAAATTTATTGCTGCACGTCATGATAGTGCATTGATTGTTAGATACACTATCACAATATTAGTGTGTATGTGTGGTGGGGTTTGTGTGTAATCATGGCAAAATGTCATCTAAGAGACACCGATAGCAAACATGTACTATACTTTGGTAGGTGTTCATCTGTGAAAAGATTTATTGAATTCAGGAATTAATTCTCTTTCTCAAGTAGAGAAACTAGAGAAAAGCAAAATTGTGCTTCAATTTTCCTGCAACAGATAATTTATTTACCCCACGTTTTTGTATGCTGTTAGAATTTAAAAGAAGAAAAACATCAAGGAAAAGTGGATAAAAAAAACAAGTTATAATTTTGAACATTTACAGACTGCATCTCTGTGTGTATAGTTTCATATGGAAATCCCTTTTAGCATGGTGGGTAAATAGATTACTACCCTGAGGGATTAGGGATTGCCTTACTGCTGGCCCACTAATCCCAAGCGCAGACTGTCAAGAGCCCTGACATGTCCGGGACTCCTTCAGCACAAAATGGCTTCTAACCTGTTTAAGACGCCAATCTAGTCCCACACACACCAACTAACAACGCCACTTCCTCCACCACCAACATGAATGTTCCTATCAGAGCTGTCACCAATGGAAAAGACAATGACGTTTGTCTTCAAAGTGGGAAGATTAGATGCTGCATGAGACAAAAGCAGACTCTTTGAAGTGATTTCTCTTCAGCAACTTAGCTGCACAGGAAGTTGGTGAGATTTATAAACTTCAGTCAAACTTAAAGACGTTTATGATCAAACCTATGAACATTTGAACAATTTCAGGGTGTGAATGAGTTTTTAATGTCTTT